GCATAGTTAGTCCATCAGGAAAAACAAACCATCCACGCGTCCATCCTGCTTCTGTGTCTGTTATAGAGCAGCGGACAAGGTGGGTGGGAATAAAACCATGGATGCTGGATGTATTTTATCTCAGAAAATCCAAAGGATATGGAATTCGACAACATCCCTGGAGTTCTTGCCCCAGGGATGAGCCAGGGCCCTCACGGCGGGAGCTCCGCTTTGAGTCTGGGCATTTCCCCAGCTTCCAACTAACTGGTCCCCTAAAGCCAGCGAACATTCAGGTCCATACACACGAACTGGTATTGCCGTCGCTGAGTAAGCGTCCTAAAGGTCGGCAGAGCTAACAAGTCAATGAAAATGACGTCGTTCTTGATTCCTATTTCTTTACTGAACGGAAACAAACCTGAACCAAGTACAATCACTGATCGTGCTAATGCATACTGGCCTCTCAATTATTTTGGTTAGAAAAGCTCCTTTGGAAAAGAAGTACACGAGATAGAAATCAAGTTCTACTCCCGTAGATTTAAGATTTCATAAATTAAGATTTAAATCTTAATCTGTTTAAGACATAGAACCTTAACATGGAGATCTCTATTTAAGGTTTTTGTATTTATTTATTTGACAGAGAGCGCGAGCACAGCAGCAAGGGGAGCAGTAGGTGCAGAGGGAGGGGAGGCAGCCCCCCCCCAAGCAGGGCGCGTGATGCAGGACTGGACCCCAGGGCCCAGGATCCTGCCCTGAGCGCTGCAATGCTACCAGGCCTCAGCAAGCCTGGGCGTGGGTGCAGCGGGACCCACCAGGCCTGGGACACTCTGGGTGCCTGGATCCCAGTGGCATGAGACATGGTGGCAGGGACACAAAGCGATTACCTCATCCTGACACAGGTGACCCGATGTGGAAGGAATCCCCTCCCGGGAATCACAGGGCGCCCAGGAGCTCTGCAGGCCTGGGACCTGGGACCTGGGACGCCAAGGCGTGGGGATGCTGCTCACGGGGATATTGCTCGCAGGGTGCTGCCTTCAAGAGGCATCTCCCACGCTCTTTGAAGCCCACAGCAGCCCTGAGAGCTTCCGACGCACTGCCATACAACACCTAGCTTTCAAAGTTCCAGAATTTTCCAGGTAAATACTATGAGGCATACCTCTCCCCGAGCTGATGGAAAGCACCGTACCCACTTCCCAGGCAAGGCCACAGGGCGCAAAGGAAATTAAGACGCATGACACTAAGCCACAGGGATGGGCACGACAGGGCAGCTGACCCAGTTCGCCGGTTGCTGGAGGAGAACCCAGGTCAGTATTCTGAAGGTAAACCTAGGTCAGTACTCTGAAGGAGCAGCCAGGTCAGTACTCTGAAGTAGCACCCAGGTCAGTACTCTGGAGGTGCACCCAGGTCAGTACTCTGTAGTAGCACCCAGGTCAGTACTCTGGAGGAGCACCCAGGTCAGTACTCTGGAGGAGCACTCAGGTCAGTACTCTGAAGTAGCACCCAGGTCAGTACTCTGGAGGAGCACTCAGGTCAGTACTCTGAAGTAGCACCCAGGTCAGTACTCTGGAGGAGCACCCAGGTCAGTACTCTGGAGGAGAACCCAGGTCAGTACTCACACACAGAGCTTTGTTCCAAAAACCCTACTGGGTCGTTCCTCCTCGGCCACATTAGAAACATTACAAAACCTGCACCGACGCAAACTGAGCTCCAATTCAGCACAGAGGCACGTGCTTCGCAACCAGTAGCCAAGACCAAGCAAGAGCTCCCTTGGGAAACCCTTGGGTCACTAAGGTCCTGGAAGGAGTCGGGATTGCCCCGCCCCGGGTGATTAGGGGAATTCGAGCAGTAGCTGTCTCTCCCTGCGGGCCAGGGCTGGCCCGGGAAGGCGGCCGGCTGGAACCTTCCACGGCCACATGCAGGGGATGGTCACGGAGCCGATTCGCGTGCCAAAAACACAAAGTAGTACAGTTAGGGTGCGTCCACCTCAAGGCCGTCAGTCCTCCCCACCCCGGCCCCCCATTGCCTGCACAGTGGGGCTGGCTGCACGTGCGGGGAGACAGCGGCGCGGGGGCTCCCAGGCGGCACTTCTAAAGGCTCCTCTGCTGACCCGTACATCCGACGGCCTCCAAACCCGGAAGGCCACAACATGGGTCAGTGAAGTGTACAAACATTTCACACCACGAATCTCTCTCTCTCCAGAAGCTTCTTCTGCATGCAGAAGACATTCACAAAGATTCGAGGAGGTGCCCTGTGTCTGTGCCTCACGCGGAGAATTGGAAACGGGGCTCGTTATTTTCTCCAGCTCCCCTCGCCCCCCCAGCAGGCCGCCTGCCTCAGGGGCCGTCGGAGTGGGCAGGATACGGTTTCCAGCTACCACCGGCGCCCAAGTTAATCCTCCCCCCTGGTCTCTCGGTATTTATTTCTAACAAACGCTGGTTCCGGTGGGGAGATCCGAGCTGCCACGTGCACCGGCGGAGCCACCGGGCGGCCCCCAGCCCTGGTCCCTCTGCCCACCGCTCTCCAAAGACGGCGTTGTACAAGGTAATGAGAAAATAGACACTTTTTTTTAACACGGTGATTATTTTAATCCCATATTCAACTCCCTCTCCCCCACCTCTAACTGCTCAGCAACACGGACATACAGAGCACAGGAACCTTGAGACTGAGGGTACCCAGGATACGCAGCCCTGTCAACGCTCAGCTCCTCTACGACGCCCCGACGAGGCTGTCACACACCGGTCACTTTTCTGAGTTTTCCCCTTGACAAGGCCCGTCGTTCTTCACGTAACACGTCCAGAGTATCAGAAGCACCAAAAGGAGTCGAGGAATTAACTCAAGCTCCCTGCCAGGTATTTGGAGGTGTGTTAATACCTCCTGGGTCAGAGGAGGATTGGAAGTGCCCTCGGGTGGACTGGCGACAGGACGCACTCAGAGGAGGATAAACAGGAAAGTAGCTAAAGATCTAAACCTCATGACGTCTCCTTACACATATTTCTGTCTAACATTTCTTTACTTTTACGTCATCCCCCGCTGACCCCCGGGACGGAATTTCACAAGCTAACCCAGCAGCACACACTTGATGCCGGCAGTTGTGTGTGTTCACTTTACTCACTTGTTCAGCCAACTGAGCCGAGCCTTGGCACAACCCGCGCTCTTCCAAGCACTTGGAACACAGATAACCGGACGGACCGTGAGCAGGGCGCAGGCCCCGAGGGGCTCCCAATGTTCCAGGAGGAGGAGGCGGGCCCGCAGGACAGGCTGCAGGTAGCGAGGGCCCCGGGAAAGAAGCCACGCAAAGGGGCGGGCGGGCTCCTAGGTAGCGGCGCTGCTCAGGAAGGGCGACTTCGCCACAGTGACACCCAGCACGCCCGGGGACGTCAAGCCTCGGAATTCCAGGCAGAGAAAATGGCAGGTGCAAAGGCCCCGCTCGCAAATGGACCACACGGAGCCCGTGTGCTGTGGCTGTTCCGGACTGAGACCAGGTCAGAGACGGAGGGGGGTGCACAGGGAGGGTCTACACCTCGGGGCCTGGCATCTGGTGTGAAGGGAAAGGGCAGCCCCTGGAGGGCCGTGAGTGATCCTATGTCCCGTTTCTCAAAAGGTCATCAGCTGTGAGGGAACCACGGGACAAAGGTTGCAGAGGAACATCTTCACTCGTTTATTGGTCGTATCTCCCTATAGGACTCATCGATGGACACCGCAGGGACCAGAACCCCAATCAACTGAATGGCTCCCTTGTCTGCCCCTGGCTCTGGGGAGTTCGTGGTTCAGGGAAGAGCCCAAGTCACAGTAGGTCACTCCGCAGGCTCTAATGGGATCTACTAGAGAGTGATCCCTTTATTCGGGTTGAGCTAATACGTAAATAAGACAAACACTGGGACGCCTGGGTGGCTCGCGGTTGAGCGTCTGCCTTGGGCCCAGGGCGTGACCCTGGAGACCCAGAATCGGGTCCCCCATCCGGCTCCCTGCATGGAGCCTTCTTCTCCCTCTGCCTGTGTCTCTGCCTCTTTCTCTCTCTTCCTCTGCCTCTTTTATGAATAAATACATCTTTAAAAAATAAAAATAAAAATAAGACAAACATTGCCAGGCTGTGGAACAAGAACGTTTTCCAGAAACATTTTCACAGGTGTTTTGATCTGCAGCTCGGTGCCACGGTTCTCCCGCGGTCGCAGTTTCTCATGACTCGCATCTGCACACAGGCCCACGGGGTCAGACCCGGGGTCACGGATTACAGTTCCTGGGGGAGGCCGGGTCAACACGGGGTCGCTCGGGGGCGCGGGTGCCCGGCTGGGGCGCCCCACGCTGGGGCTGGGCCTCCTGAGCACGCTCTGGGGTCCTGGGGTCGGGGTGGGCATCCCCGGGGGGGCTCCGGGCCTGCAGCCCGCGGGGGGGGGGGAGGCTGGGTCACCTGGGGGTCACCTGGGGGGGCTGAGCTCGACCCTGCAGGCGGACGGGCGGACTCCATCCCCTCCAGCCCACTACCAGCACCTTGCGCAGGGCCAGGCAGCAGGATGTTTGCACGAAAAGACACGTGGGAGCGCGGGTCACCGTGCGGGAGCCGGGCGCACGCGCACCTGCCCAGCCTGCTGCAGCCCTGATGCTCCCTCTTCCTCCTCCCTCCGCGGGCAGGCGGCCTGGGCGGGCCCCTGCTGCCCCGCAGCCCGCCCCCGCCCCAGAGCCCCGGCACCTGCGCGCTCCGCGCCGCCAGCAGGGGACCAGCAGGGGACCAGCAGGGGACGGCCCGCGGGGCCCCGACCGCACTGAGGGACGCGGCCTCGCCCCCGCCCCGCCCCGCCCCCGCCCTCCATCACCCGGGCTGTTCCACCGTGTCTCACGGCGTGTCCGTGGAAGGAGGCCTGCGAACCGACGTGCAGCCTCCCGGGAGGGAAGGAGGATGCCAACGGCCCCGCGGGGGGCGCGCACCGGGCGGGCCGTGCAGGGGGGGCGCGGGGGGGCGAGGCGAGGCGAGGCGGGCCGGGATCCCCCCTCCCCTCCCCCCTCCCCCCTCCCCCGGAGGCGCCTACCTGCGGCGGGCGCGGTGGGCGAGGGCGCCGGGGGCCCCGGCCGGTCCCGCGCGGCCTCCTCCCGCTGCCGCTGCCGCTGCCGCTGCTGCTGGATGAGGCTGAGGTCGGAGCGGCCGAGCTCGGCGCGGGCGGCCGCGGGGACCAGGCGCGCGCTCAGCAGCACCGCGGCCAGGCCCAGCAGCACCGCCCCGGGCACGCGCCGGCCGAGCCCCGCCATGGCCGACAGCCCGCGGGCCGCGGGGGCATATTGCGGGCTCCGGCGGCGGGGCCCGGGCTGCGCGCTCCCGCTCCCGCTCCCGCTCCCGCCCCAGCTCCCGCTCCCCGCTCCCCGCTCCCCGCTCCCCGCTCCCCGCTGCCTCGCTCCCTCGCGCTCGCGCTCGCGCAGCCTGCGGCACACAGCCTCGCTGGGAGGAGGAGGAGGAGGAGGAGGAGGAGGAGGGGCGAGGAGGGGCGAGGAGGGGCGAGGAGGGCGGGGAGGGGACGGGAGAAGACAGACGAGGGGTGGAGGGGAGGGTCTGCAAGAAGACGGACGGGTCCCAGGAAGGAGGGGCGGGGCCCGCGGGAGGAGGGGAGAAGGGGGGGTCTGGGAGGAGGGGAGAGGAGGGAGGGGCGCTGGAGAAGAGGGTCTGCAGGAAGAGGGAGGGGCCCGCGGGAGGAGGGGCGGGGCCCGCGGGAGGCGGAGGAGCCCGCGGGAGGGGGGGAGGGGTCCGCAGGAGGAGGGGAGAGGAGGGGTCTGGGAGGAGGGGAGAGGAGGGCGGGGCGCTGAAGGAGATGGTCTGCAGGTAGAGGGAGGGGTCCGGGGAGGAGGGGGCGGGGCTTGCGGGAGGAGGGGCGGGGCCCGCGGGAGGAGGGGAGAGGTCCGCGGGAAGGGGGGAGGTGTCCGCAGGAGGAGGGGAGAGGAGGGCGGGGCGCTGAAGGAGATGGTCTGCAGGTAGAGGGAGGGGTCCGGGGAGGAGGGGGCGGGGCCCGCGGGAGGAGGGGAGAGGTCCGCGGGAAGGGGGGAGGTGTCCGCAGGAGGAGGGGAGAGGAGGGCGGGGCGCTGAAGGAGATGGTCTGCAGGTAGAGGGAGGGAGGGGTCCGGGGAGGAGGGGCGGGGCTTGCGGGAGGAGCGGCGGGGCCCGGGGCGAAGGGCGGGGCCCGCGGGGGAGGGGAGGGGTCGGGTCCGCAGCGCGGCCCAGGGGTGCGCGGGTGGGGCGGGGCGGGGCGCTGAGAAGGGAGAGCCCCGGGGGAGGGGGAGGGGAGGGGGAGGGGGCCGCCCCGGGGGCGCGGACGCGAGCGGGGCCGCGGGGCCCCGGGGCCGGGCAGGTGGCGGCGGCGGCGGCGGCGGCGGCGGCGGCGGAGGGCGGGCGCCCGGGCGAGCGGCGAGCGGCGAGCGGCGAGTGGCGAGCTCGGCTGCAGGCGGCAGGTGCCTCCACGGGAGCGGCACGTCGGGAAGGGAAGACGGACGAAGGCGCGCGGGGCGACGGCGCGGAGTTGCCGGGGGAGACGGGAGGCGGGAGGGCCCGCGAGGCGGCTCCAGGCCGCGGGCGCACAGGTGCTGGGGCGCCGGCGGCCACCCCGGGGTCAGGTGGGCGCGCTTGTGCAGCCGGGCGCGGGGGGGGGTCGCCTGGACGCTGCCCCGCCCCCCGTAAGGTCAGCCGTGGTCGGTGACAGCTCGTCGTGCACCCTCGGGGCTCAGGTGGCCCATTTCCCTGATTGGATCGTCCCTTTGAACGCTCAGCGTCTTTCTGCAGGTAGCTCCGGATACTGACTCCCTGGGAAAAAACCCAAACAGTTGTCAGTAGTGACCATGTCCGCTGTGCTGCAGGGTATGAACCTACAGGACCGCAAAGGAAGCAACACCAGCTGCGGGAGCCACGGGCATCTGCGTCCCCCCACCCACCCCCCTGTACCCTCAGAGCAGACCCCACGGGGAGCTCGCAGCGTCCTACCACGTGGGCCCCGAGGAGCAGAGCGGCTGCGGCCTGCCGGACCCTGCCGCAAGTGCCGCCACCTCACCTCTCTGCACCGCTGGAAACGTTTACGTGAGTTTGCATTGCTTGTTAGTGATTTTTAGACAAAAAGGAATTACGTGAGCTTCATAGGTTTGGGGAAATATGCCCAGGTGAGGCCCCTCACACTGAACAGCACTGCAGGCCCCTGGCTCCGCCTCGCTTCTGTGGCCAAGAGCTCGCGGGTGGGAGGCTGAGTGCACAGGGCCCTCGTGGGCCCACCAAGCTGTTTCCGTTGCATTTTCTTCCCCGTTGCCTCTGCTCCTGGAGGGAGGAAGGGGGAATGGAGACCGCTCCAGGAACCTGCGGGGCAGACCAGAAGGAAGGGAATGCGGCCAGGATTTCTGTCCTCTGCCTCCGAGTCTTCTGGAGTATGTTAGAAACTGACCTTCTGATTCCATGGCCCCAGTCGAGGGTGGACATCAAGTCTTTCGACACTATGGACCGCTGATTCCATGGCCCCAGTCGAGGGTGGACATCAAGTCTTTCGACACTATGGACCGTTTAAACAAATAAGCTTTATTTATCAAGATGGTTTTCAGATGATTTTTAAATGCAACATTACTCATAGAGCTTAGGCCTAATTTCAGTGCAATATGCAAAAGCCGTATTATCTGATGCAACCAGAGCCAGTAGTGAATCCAAAATAAGAGACCAAAGAAATAAATATATATTAAATATGTTTTTTTTAAGATTTTATTTATTTATCCATGATAGAGAGAGAGAGAAAGAGAGAAAGAGACACAGGCAGAGGGAGAAACAGGTTCCATGCTGGGACTTGATCCCGGGTCACCAGGATCAGGGCCTGGGCCGAAGGCAGGCGCTTAAACCAATGAGCCACCTAGGCTGCCCCTTAAATATGTTTTAAACTGCTTATTTCACCTTAAAGTAGGCAAATGGACATTTATTTACCAAACTTCTAATGTAGGACCAAGGTTTATTTTTAAGTATCTAGCCACAGCCTAGGGTTTGAAGTCATAAAGCACAATCATAATACACCTCTGCGATTTGCAGTTTAATAGAAAGAGTTCTTAAAGCCTCTTGACAAGCAATCCGAGGGCTGAATCTATTGAAAGTTTTTCCCAAAATTTTACAATTTTCTCACCCACTTAATATTAAACTTTGCTTTCATAGAAAAATACACTGTTCAAATTTATATTTCATCCATTCCTTAAAATACATAGAACTGGCAAAAACGACGGACTTTCGGCACACACACAAAGCGACCGGGGCGAGCAAAACCGAGCAAGCATTCAGGAAGGTGTGTCCTGCTAACCGCCTGTGCGTTACCCGCCAGCCAGCGTGTTTTACAAAGGAATGGCGGGTGCCAGCACCATCACGCAGCAAAGCACACCACCGTGTATATATTATGTAATCGTTCTGCCCTCCCTGAGATCTACTGGTACCTCCCAACTGCTCTTGGCACTAGGTCCATAATCCCTGATAGACTTAGAAAGCCATTTGCAATCTGTCCACTAACTACCCAGGCTCACACACACACACACACACACACACACACACACACACAGAGCTCGAGAGAGAGCTCGAGAGAGAGAGATAGAGGAATTGTTTTATCACCTTAAACTAGACTTATATGATTTGCCCCTGGACCTTCACATATTGGCTTTTTGTGCCTGAAACTCCAGTCCTCACCTCTTTAATTGATAAACTCCCAGAGAGCCTGAAGGATTAGTTTACACCACATTAACAAAATGAAGAACAAAAATCATACAATCATCTTAGTAGATGCTTTAGAAAAAGCATCTGACAAAATTCAACATCCTTTCATAATAAGAAAAAAACCTCTCAACAAATTAGATATTGAAGAAATGGACCTCGATATGATAAGGGCATATATGACAAGCCCACAGCTAATATCATATTCAATAGTGAAAGCTATTTTCCTCCAAGATTAGGAACAAAACAAATATGCCCAATCTCACCATTTTTAATAAATATAGTACTGGGGGGGATCCCTGGGTGGCTCAGCGGTTTAGTGCCTGGATCAGCCCAGGGTGTGATCCTGGAGTCCCGGGATCGAGTCCCGCATCAGGCTCCCTACATGGAGCCTGCTTCTCCCTCTGCCTATGTCTCTGTCTCTCTCTGTCTCTGTATGTGTGTCTCATGAATAAATAAATAAAATCTTTTAAAAAATTAAAAATAAAATAAATAAATATAGTTCTGGAAGTTCTAGCCAAAGCAATTAGATAAGAAAAGGAAATAAAAACCAAGCCAGAGAGGAAGAATAAAGTTATTTGCAGATGACATGAACTTACATATAGAAAGTCCTGAAGACTCCATTAAAACTGTTTGAACTATTAAATAAATTTAGGAAAGTTGTAGGATACAAGATTAACATAACAAAAATCAGTTGCACTTCTATACACTAATAATGCACTATTCAAAAAAAGAAATCAAGAAAACAATTACATTTACAATAGCCTCAAAAACAAAAGCAAACAAACAAACAAAAAACCTTAGGAATAAATTTAACCAATGAGGGGAAAGATCTGTACACTGAAAACAGTAAAACATTGGTGAAAAAAAATTAAGACACAAAACTGATGGCTAGATATCCATTGTTCATGGATTGAAAAAAAATAATATTGTTTAAATGTCCATACTCCCTTCAGCCATCTGCAGATTCAATGCAATACCTAATGAAAATTCTAGTGGCATTTTTCACAGAAATAGAAAAAATAATCCTATAATTCATATGGAACCCCAAAAGAATATGAATTAGCCAAAGCAATCTTGAGAAGAAAAAAAAAAAAAAACCTGGAGACATCACACTACTGGATTTCAAAATATGCTATGAAGCTATAGTAGACCAAACAGTGTGGTTCTGGTGTGAAAACACACTGGGCAAAGGCAACAGAATAAGGAGCCCATAAATAAATCCAAACATTCTTCAATAAATGGTAATGGGAAAACCAGTTATCCACATACAGAATAATGAAATTAGACCCTATCTCAGTCTATAAACAAACAAACAAACAACTCAAAATGGGTTAAAGACAGGGCACCTGGGTAGTTCAGTCAATTAAGCATCTGCCTTCAGCTCAGGTCATGATCCTGGGGTCCTGGGATGGAGCCCCGCATTGGGCTTCCTGCTCAGCGGGGAGTCTGCTGGTCCCTCTCCCTCTGCTCCTCCCTGCCATTCATGCTCACTCTCTCTGTCTCCCTCTCTCTCTCTCAAATAAATAAATAAATAAATAAATAGCCA